TACAAACTTCACAGGGAAGTATTTTTCTGTACCTTAGCTGAAGTTTTGAACATCATCTAACAAAGTTATTGTAATGGATTCAAAGTTATTCCAATCATTATTTCTATTGGAAAATAAAAAGGATACAAGTTCATCTTGTGAACACAAGTCATCAGTGGCCAATTTCATCATTTGTACGATTTGAGATGTGGTTCTGAGAAATTTGTCAGACATATGAAATATATATTTATGTTTAATTATATCATTGGACTATCACTGATGTTGATCAACCTAGCTCTGGAGAAGGTAATAAATAAGAGCAACATCACAGGAAAATGGAGGGGTCCACGTCGGAATGAATCATAAAATCCTTGGATACGCATATGATATAGCTGTCCTTGAAAGTAATCAAGAGACATTGAGAAACTCGTTATAACACTGATAAAAGAGGCAGAGCAGATCGGCCTACAAGATAAGAGCTGCGTGCAGATAAATAGAAATAAATAGCCCAAGACAGCCAGAGATGGAGCAGGCTTGTTAAGGTGTCAAAATATCTACATGGTCTGTAATGCCAACAGAAAAAAAAAATTATGTCATCAATGAATAAGATCAATCTGATAAAACCTAAATTTAAAAAAAAATAGGCAAATGATATTTCATTTCTATCACAGTCAGCTAGTTTTGGTATTAACAGTTGAGAAACGATTGGTGCTAACAGTTAGATCGACAAAGAGTGATATTTATGATAATTGATATTAATGTTAATAAATAAAAACAAATAAATCCAGTCCTTTGCAACAACCACTGAAAGATTGTTTGGCCTACATTTTGTTTTGTTTTTAGATTTTTCCAAGATACCAAAAATATGTCACAAATTAAACTTAAATTGTACAAATTTAATAATTTACAAGATAATAAATTAAATGTGAAATATTATTCATTATTTACAAACTCATCAATTAGCATTTTTTATTTTAATCTAGAATTTATTTGATCAATTTGACCACGATGATATTATGTCCTTCTATAAAAGTTAAACAATGAATAGAAAAATACACATGTGATTTTTAAAATATAGAAGTTTTATCTAGGATCGTTATATTGGATAATTAGCATCTAATCAAATGATATGATTAAATAAAAATTAGTTGTATAGTAATCTTTAATAGTTATATAAATAATAAAAGCCACTACACTTTTTAATAAATAAAAACATCGAGTAATTTAATGAACATATTTCAGTAGACATATTCAAAAAATATATCTAAAGATTTTAAACACAAAACCTTTAAAAAATATATACACAAGGATATTACTACTAAAAATCAAAATGTTTGTACTTGTCTAATAAGGTCAACAACTAATTTTTGTGCAAACAAATTCCAAATTTAGGCAAAATCTGTGGATTTCTACCATATTTTAAATTAATATCTGAATAATTAAAATTTATTAGAATCAAAATAATGATTTAACATCAAACTAAAATAATAGTTGCACAAAAATGTTATATTTAAATGAATATTTTCTATTTTATTAGAATAGTTATAACAATTTTAATATTTGTTAAGTACATAATTAAAAGAAATTCAATTATGATAGGTTATTTTTAAAATGAAATTATATAAATCTATTTTCTCAGGTCTTAATGTCCAAAGGTCCATAAAGGTATTGATTCTGAGGTTTGGTGTAATTCCAGAGCTTTGTTATGATCGTTCCTATAGAAAACTGTTTATTTTTTCTAAGTGTGAGAATAAGGGCGGTGTGTGGGTTGTGCATCCTTGTGGATGAGGTCAATAATATCCAAATTTTATTAAATTCTGTGAATAGATTGATGCACAAGTTCAAATATTAAAATATTTAAGAGTTATCTTAATGAAAATGGGAAGCAAATTTAAGTTTTATCAAGAACACGGCTTAGAACTCAAAAGTTGTCTTACATATAATTGTATAATTATGAGGTTGGTTGGTTGTTTTGATGTTATAGGTGCAAAACATCTAGGTCATCTGTGCCTTATCTATAAAATATTTAGCTGGTAGGTTTAATGGGGAAAAAAAATATAAATAATCAAAAAAACAAGATAGAAAAAAAATAAATAGGTAAAAATAATAGGTAAAAAATATATACATATAAAAATAAATAAATAAAAGAGTAATAATAATATAAATAAAATAAGGGGAAAAATAAGTTTATATATATATATATATATATATATATATATATATATATATATATATATATATATTTTGTAACATCTCTGTTTTAATTTATAAATAATAATATTAGGACCTTGGAAGCTCACTTCTTACCATTGGGATACTTCCTAAATAAATAAGAGGTTGTTTAATAATAAACAAATTATATGTATTAATATATTTATTTATCTCAGGTGTGCGTTACTGACAATCAGATCAACTCAGACAAACTATTATTATTTACACATTTTTACTAAAATTAAACACTGATTTTAAAATAAAGAAAAGTATGAATTGGCAAGCTAACTTTTTTCTATAGATACTGTTTCTTCCTTTGTCACACTAAATTCATTTGTCTTCGAATGCTTTCCAATCTTCTGCCAAAACACAACTTCAAAAATGGTAATACTATTACTGGGTTTTTCCCACTGGAGCCAGGATCACTTCTCCTATCCTCTCTGCAGTCACACATTTTTTTTTTATGAGATAGCCCCCTACCCACCATTTCTAGCATACGGGGGGTGGGGGAGGAGGGTTGTTCTAGAGGTACAACCAAACCTATTCTAACCCGAGTGGGAGGGTTGAGTTTCATTCCGTGGGGCCGCCATGAAATAAAAACCACTCCCAGGTCAGATTCGAACCAATGTCACTAGGCACAAGGATGCTAGACTAGGCAACGCTCCAACACACTCGGCCACCACGACCTCTGCAGTCACACAACCACTGTTTGCCAAAACAAAGACCTTTGTCCCTCTTCTCTTTGGGATTTTCCTTCTTGGGAAACTACAGAGTAGCCATTTTCTTTTCTCTGCACTAGTAGAACTAGATTAGCTTGCCTTTTAATTGTTCAACATTAATTTATCAAAACCTTTTTAATCACTTCCAATAATGCTGTACATTACAATATATAAAGGAAAATAAACTAAAGAAAAGAAAAAGATAAATAAAAATTATTATTATAGCTCTTTCATTAAGTTTACACTTGTTGGAAATGTTATTATTTTGTCAGTTCTATTGCCATTGTTTCCTAAGGCTAGTGATATTTCTAAGTCATTTAATTTATGACTATAAAATGGACAACCTTGGAAAATGTGAGTTATGGACAAGAAATTATTGCAATACTGGCATCTATGTGGTGCAACTTTAGTGATAAGGTGGAGGTGGGTCAATCTTGAGTGTCCGATTCTAAGCCAGGCAAGGACAACTTCCTCTCTGCAAATGCTGTGACTAGAAGAACTCCAAGGTCTGACATCTTTCTTTATTAGTTTCAGTTTGCATGGAGCACTCTTTTCCAATATGTTCTGCCATTCCTTTTGGATGTTCTCTTTAAGCGGCCAGGAGAAATCTGATGGTGTTTGCAGGGTCCTACCGCACCCTGGGAGCAAGAGTGCTTCTTTTACTGCTTTGTTGGCCATTTCATTGCCTTTCATACCAGCATGTCCTGGTGCCCATATCTAGCTAACTGATTTCCCGTTATCAGTCATAAATGTTCCTATTTCAAGTATTCATTGAATTCCTGGATGATTGGAATGAATGTTTGCTAAACTCTTTAGAGTACTTAATGAATCTGAAGCAATTACTATAATTTTGTCAGACAATGTAGATGAATACTCTAGGGCCATAGCAATAGCATTTACTTCTGCAGAATAAATACTACTTAATGGATGTAACTCCATTTTATGTGTGGTATCTTTGATCACAAAAGCTGATAAAGTTGCTGAGTCAGATTTGGATCCGTCAGTGAAAATTAAATCATGTTCTGGTAATGCCTGAATTAATTTTTGTAATTTATCTCTTAAATATGATGCTACTGTTTTTTCTTTGTTAAATTTAGTTAGTTGTAGATTTATTTGAGGTTTTATATATATCCAGGGAGATTTTTTATTTTCTGTTGAATTAACAGTAATTAATTTTAGATGTTGAACTATCGAAAATACTCAGTCTGCTAATTGTAAGATAGCATTGGTCTTCTGTTGGAATGTTGAGGAAAATTTCGGCCTGAATATGTACCTGTGGGAAGGGTGCAGTTTGCAGTTTGCAGGTATAGTTTTGTACAGTAATTAATGGCTAATTTGTAATGACAGAATGATAGCAGAGGTATTCCTGATTCGGTGCAGAGGCTTAGTGACGGACTAGTTCTAAAGGCTCCGGTTACGATCCTTATACCCGTATGGTGTACTGTATCGAGCTGTTTAAGTATAATTTTTCGGGCGGAAGCATAAATAAAACTACCGTAGTCCATCTTGGAGCATATTAGAACTTGGTATGAGTACAGTCGCACAGTCTGCTCCCCAACTGGTTCCGCTAAGGAATTTCAGTGTATTGAGCTTTCTTAGGCAGTTTTTTTTCATCAATTTTAAGTGATGTTCCCACATCAGAAGCTTGTCAAACATTAATTCTAAGAATCTGCATTTATTCACATAGGGCATTGAGACATAATTGTGGGGTTAAACTTATTTATGTATTGAAATAATTAAAAAATTTTTTTGTCCAAACGCAGTTGCACTCTATTGAAACTTTTAACCTGGGTTTACTGTTAAAATTTATTCAATTTTTGTTTTCAGCATTCAATATTTAAAATTTTAACATTTTATTTACAGTTGCTTAGATCTGCGGAATAAAACTTAAATAGTTTTTAATTTACCAATCTGTTTACTTCTGTTAATTTGTATGTTATAAGAAATAAACATTTTATGAAATTAGTAGAACTTTAATAATTATACTCACATTCAAAGATTTTTTTTAGACCATTTTGTAATTCCCTTGAAATTTTTATTTTGTAATTAACCATTTTTATTTTAACATGTGTTAATATTCTCTATAGAATGTATACAATAAATATGAATTTTATCTAAATTATTGTAATTATTTCTAAATTTGCAGTCTTTATGCATAATGTCTGAAGTATTGACATTTAGGATTTTTAGAAAATAATCTCTTTATAATTTAGTACAACATGTTATCATGCAAAACTACATTAAAAATATATTGTTGTGCATAAAGTCCTCATTATTGTTCTATAAAGATACAGTAGGCTTGTGTATTGATTTAGGATAACATTTCTGTTTGATGGTTGCTTCGCCTGACAACCAAAGTTTGGGATGGAAAGAGCCAAAAGTGCATTATCAAATGACCTTCTTTATGGAAGGTAACCTATTATATATTCTTATAAAATAGTAATTAACTTATTTTTGTTTTATTTGAATGAGAATGTTTTTGTTCAGAGGTAAATAATTCAGAAAGTTAAAATTCATCAATTTTATATAACACATAAATAAATTTAATTGAGCTCATTGCCAATAAAAATAAATCTTTTTTAATGTTTGGTTCCAGGATTAACACTAATACTCCCTTAAAGCTAAAAGTCACATTTTGTACAGATCTCGACAAGTCAGTTTTGACTTCTAATTTTGAAAAAAGAGGTTGGAGTCAAGTCGGTCCTGAAGATGACTGGAACTTTTATTGGTGTGTGTGTGTTTATTTTCATGATTTTTATTTTCTCCGAAAGTGTTGAGAATTGTAAAACTATCTAAACATAGTTTTATTTCTAGGTCGGGAATACAAACATGTCGTAATCTCTTTAGCCTTGATAGTGGTTATAGAATGCATGATCACCAGTAAGTAAAATGTATCTTATATCATTTGTAAATAACATGAAAATTTAAATTTATTTATGAAAACAAGTTCCCAAAACTAGGAAATGTTTACATAGCTATATTTTCTTTCAAGGAAATGAAGTTGGTGATTTTATTATATTAAGATCAATATATTTTTTTTTAATGTCAAACTAGACATTTTAGATCTTGTTGATATAAGGTTTATTTGTTTATTCCATCTATCCATCTAGTTTTAAACTTCCCACTAATAATTAATAGGTATGTAGATAAGCCATGATGTCTTGCTATATGTACTTCTCCATTGCCTTCTCTTTACCTCCTTGTTTTTTCATGCCATTAGAAACTGCCCATTATACTTTAGCTTTTCCCTTGTTGCTTAGTTTGGAAGTTCCTTTTAATTAAGAACCCACAAAAATATGGTTCCCTCCAAAAATTCATAATCCTGTATATGTGTGCCCCCTCAAAAATTCAATACCCCATAAAAATGTGTGAAAAGTTTATATTTGTTCTGTAGTATTTAGTCTCCTATGAATAAAAAAATTGTACAATAAAATTAAGTCCCGCGGCCACAGCTTGTGATGAAAAAAAATCTTGTTCTATTAATGACACTTCTGCTGTGAAAAGAAGAGAAAAAAAAAAAACATGCAATAAATATAGTGTGTAATTTTATGTGTGTTGTACTCTTGTGTAATTTGCTAAATTTTATCTTTTTAATAGTGCTTAAAATTTTAGCATATAATCAAAGAAATGTTCGTGAACCAGATTTTAGGTGCTTGCTAGCCATAGGAGACCCCTGGTTTAGAAGATGGAGAAACAGGCAGTGTTTGGATGAGTTTAGTACGGTAGCTTTGTGAATGGCGTTTGGTTGGAATTCCAAAATGAGGTAGCTTCATTCAACGTGCAATAACTTATTGAGTCTTGTATGAGACCTTTTGCCCGACCCTTTCTATTCACCAGTCCTAGCTCCAAGTGACTAACATTTTCTTCTGGTTTCTGCAGAACTCTATGAATGGAAAGAAATTTTAAAAGGAAGAGGACATCAAAAACCACTTGAATCAGTTTTTGAACAATAAACTGCAGACATTCTATGAACATGGCATTATGCAGTTTGTGGAAAGTTGGGAAAGTCATATTAAATAATGGTCAATATATTGTAGATTAAAATAATTTTATGTCTATAATACATTGAGCTTTACTTCACTCTGGAAAACCAGAAAGGACTTCTTCGCCAACCTAATAATTGCCTCATACACTGGTCACTGTTGGTTAAATAAACATCACTTCCACCAAAAGCTGTTAGAATTCTAAATTTTTAGTGTTTGCCAAATGGAGGATGAAAATGCTTACATCATTTGTTGGTATTGGTATAAGTTTGAATACTTGATTAGTTAGAAGCACATATGTCTATTGAAGACCTCAAGCTTTGTGCATTAATCTATATACTACGCATACAAAAGTTTGTCAATACTAATCAAGAATAATTAATATTACATGGTACATTTAAGAAAAAAAAATCTGGTAGTTAACTTCTTGCTAATTTATTTCTGCTCACACTCCAACTTAATGGATTCTTTTAAATTTCAAACTGTATTTGATTTTGATTTTAGAGTGTGATCTATAAAGCAGTTTACTCCATTTTGAATTGAAATTGAGCTTATCATAATGAATACCTTTCAATACCATGAATACCATCATTCACTGCATTTCAAAATTTGGCAGTATCACCATCACAAAAAATTATTTGTTTTATGTGAAAATTATTGTATAATTTTAAATAAATGGTGGTTAGTTAATATAGCGGAAGAACAACTACTATTTCATTTTAATTTGCTCATGGTTTATTTTGAAAGGGCATCGCCATGTTCGAGTTGGTCTATTCTAGTGCTTACAACTAAGAGTTCATATAAAGTTACTGTATAAATCAAATAATTTTCACTAGAAATATTTATAACTTTTATTAATATTGGTTACTATAGCTTGCCCACAAGAACATGGCGGACAGAAGGCTATTCCTATAATAATGTTAAAACTGATGACCTCTTCTAGTTCCTTCAAATGGTGTAGATTTTCTAAAATGAATTTTAATTCCCTCATTGATTCTTGTTTTCATTCAAATTGAATCCAGCAAATTTTTTTTTTTTGAATCCCACTGTTCCTTAGGACTATTGAATGTGCGAAGAGAAAGTTTCTTACATCTCATGGATTGTTCTCATTTCTCCTCAGACATATTCTTTTGGAAGAGCAAGCTGTAATAATCAAGAATTTTCATGATTTTGAAAAAATATGTGTAAATAAATGCTAATAATTTTAATCTTTCATCTATATATAGATTGATCAATCATTTTCCTAATCATTATGAACTGACAAGAAAAGACTTGTTGGTGAAAAATATCAAAAGATACAGGAAAGAGCTAGAAAGGGATGGAAATCCATTGGGCACAAAGAGTATGGGGAAATATATCTATTTAGATTTCATACCCATAACGTTTGTTTTACCTGCAGGTAACTACAGATTTATTGTAATAACATGTTTACTTTATTGAAACAAATATTCTGTTACTCTTTTAACTTAAATACAGATAAATATATTAACCCCTAAATCAGCACGTGCTCTTGTGTGCTAGATTACAATATGTTTGTGGAAGAATATAGAAAAACACCATCTAGCACTTGGATAATGAAGCCATGTGGAAAAAGTCAAGGTGCGGGGATATTTTTAATAAACAAGCTCTCAAAGTTGAAACGATGGTCTCGAGAAGCAAAAGCCCCTTTCAATCCTACAGTCGTTAAAGAAACATATGTTATATCAAAGTAATAGATTTTACAAAATTTATAACATGCATTTTCTTACTGCTTTTAGTTTTAATGTATCTATTTCAATTACAGATATATAGATAATCCTTTACTCATTGGTGGAAAAAAGTTTGATATGAGGCTATATGTACTAGTTACTTCATTCAGGCCCCTGAAAGCGTATTTATTCAAACAGGGCTTTTGTAGATTCTGCACAGTTAAATATGATACTAGCATGCAAGAACTTGATAACATATTTGTACATTTAACAAATGTATCAGTACAAAGGCACGGGGTAAGAGAAAGTTTGTAGACAAATAAAAATATTATTTCTTATGCCATCTTCAGTTAGTCACCAAAAATATTAGTTTAGCTATTACCATTGAAATAATATCAAAGCTGTGGAACTCAGAAAAAAATTGACAGTTTGTATTCATTTTATTTTGCTGTCTTGGATAAAATTAAAGAAAAAAAAAATAATAAAGCAACAATTTCTTTAAAAGTGGTTCAGAAATTTTTATGATAGACTAAAAAAATGTTTATTGAGCTTCCAATAATTTATAAATTTTATATTTCAGCAACTCTTTATAAAAATTGATTTTCTGAGCAGAGACTGTTTTATTATCACAGCATTAAATTTAGTTTTTCTATTTCTGAATCTGTACATTTATATTCATCTTAATCCGTTTATGGAAGGTCTAATGGGTTGGCTTGGACGCTGTAGATATTTGAAGTACATTCTAGTATGGATAGTACTTATGAGTGACTTGTGTAGCCGAGGATCTTCTAGCAATTATCTCTTAACCATGAGTTGAAGTTTAGTTATAAATAAGTAGATTAATCCTTTTTCATAATAACAGTTTATTTATTTTAAAAAGTTAGGTAAAAATACATTTTTTTGGGTGAATGCCAACCATAACCATTTCCAAAAACAAATTTAATGTTTGAATGCAGGTGTTTAGTAGCCAGCTTTTTGTCTGAAACCAAACAGATTTTTGGTGTATTTATAGGGCTTTTTACTGTATAAAAATCCTATCTCTAATAACCATTAGTAACTTAAGATTATAATTACAGGGAGATTACAATAGTTTGCATGGAGGAAAATTAAGTGTTGACAATTTAAGATTGTACCTGGAAAGTACAAGAGGAAAAAATGTGACTGATAAATTGTTTAAGAATATAATATGGCTGATAGTCCATTCTTTAAAAGCAGTCAGTAATATAATGGCAAATGATAAGCATTGCTTCGAATGCTATGGATATGATATTATTATTGACAACACTCTCAAACCTTGGTTAATTGAGGTAACATTACATTCTACAGTGAAACAAATTTGGGAAGGATCTTATAGTCAAAGATAAGAAAGAAAGATTATGCTCAAATCTAATCAAGTTTGCTACCTTCAATTTTTTTAAAAACATTTTGATTTGCATAATCTAGTTCATAAATTGATGGGAAACATAAAAATAGTAAGGATTTATATCTTTAAATAGTTTGACTAATACAAAAAAGAGGTCCCAGTTATATTGCATTTATTAGCTGTTATGTGGTTGTTAAAGATTATATAAATTTATTAATTAAAGTAAAATGAAAATTCCCAAATACATTTTTCACTTCCTGCATTATTTTTTAGTAATAAAAAGTTGCATGTGCACTAAAAGGTTCTTCTTTTACTTCTTTACCTATACTTAATATTTTTCATACTGAAACTTTATCATTTTTAAAGGTAAATGCATCTCCATCTCTCACTTCGACAACAGTAAATGACAGAATATTAAAAAGCAGGCTTATCGATAGCATTCTTCACGTAGTCATTCCTCCTACGGGTATTCCAGAGTAAGATATTCATTATTCTTATTCTTAAATAATATATAAGATGATTTAATTGATTAATATTAAGCTACTTAGTATAGCCAAACGACCTTTTAATAGGCACCATAAAAGTTTTATTTTAATAACCACTTAAAATGTTAATTGTTGAACATATATAAATTAAACTAAGAAAAGAAAAATAATCGTTTGTTTTCTTTCTTTGATTTTATTTTTAAAAATATGTTCTCTTATTCCTATGGATGACCCCTTCTTTTCTTTTACAACATCCAACTTTAATTACGAGCTCTACATATACATAAACTGTCTAATTGTTGATGGTGGAGATATTATTGACCATAGCATGTTATTAAGAAGTTGGTCGGATGTGCAATCAAGAAAGAAAACTTATTTTTAATGTATGCCATTTGTTCTTGCTGAATTTAGGAGTATTAGAATGGTCTGAGTGTTTGCAAACAGCCTAGCTTTAAAATAAAAAGTTGTACGAAAGTGAAAACTTAAAAAAAATAATACTTATTTGACGTAGGTTAAGCCTAAAATGTTACAGCAACTTATTTTTTTGCTAACATTTACTGATCAGAAGTGGCATTTTCATCACCAGTTTTGCAATTTTTATCAAAACAGCTAAAACATTTTGATTAAACTTGTGTTGCTGTAATTATATTTAATATCAGTTATTATGTAAATGAAAACAAAACAAATAATGATAATAAGCCGAAAATTCCACCCCCATAACAGGATCTGAGTAGAAGGGAAATTGTTCACAAGGGAAGAAAAATTCAAATACCTCCGGGGTACCACAATAACCTCAATGAATGACCAAGTCAGAAATAGACCAGTGTTTAACAAGCGCAAACAGAGCTTTCTTCTCCCTTTCAAAGGCATTGAAATCCCAAAAAATCTAAAATTAAGGGTGTACAACAATGCTATGATAAAAGCCAGTTCTAATATAAGGCTGTGAGAACTGGATATACTAATCAGCACTCTAGAAAAAAATATTGAAAGAAAAATTCTCAGCACGATAACCAGAGTGATATGGGATCAGAGTACTAATACATGGAGAATAAGACCAATAAAGAGCTGCTTACAGAAACCAATATCTCATGATATGAAGGCATGGAGGCTAAGAAGGGCAGGGCACTTAGCCCAGAGCTATCCATCTGGAAGCATCTATATAACAATGAATGCATCAGTAGAAGACAAAAGAACACATGGAAGGTCAAAAAGCAGATGGATAGATAGAATCAACAAAGATGCATGCAGATAACTGGAAAGAAATAGTTCAAGATAGGCAGAGATGGAATAGGCTTGTTAAGGTGGCAAAAGATCTACAAGGTCTGTACAGCCAACAGAAAAAAAAAAAATCAAGGAAGTATTAATCTCCTAGAAATAATCTAATAGAGCTTAAATGGCAAATTTTCAAAATGGCTTCCTGTGTGGTACTTGTTTTTTTTTAATAGTTGACTGTTTTGCATTGTAACTAGTATTAAAATAAAAATGGATAAATATGAAATAATTTTATAGAAGAAACAATGTAATTAAACAGCTTATTTTATTTTGCAGTGCTAAGTGGAACAAAACCCCATTACCTTCTGCATTGGGAAATTTTGAGGTACTCATCGATGAAGAAGCCATTACACACAATGAAAATAGTAAACTAAGAAAAAATAATAAAAGTAGTAACAATAATAATTTATCTTTGGCAGTGAGACGGAGAAGATAAAATGTTTTAAGATCGTAATTGTTTTCTATAAGAATAATGAAAATAGAAACAAAACAACATTAAGGTTTTAATGGGTTTACTCAAAAACAAAAACTTATGTAAATTTAAAGAAAATTTGTTTATTAAAAAGTTTTTCAGCTTTATTTATTGTTGTGGAGCTCCCCTTCCTCGGCCATAGCCTCCTCTCTGAAACAGAATAAAGATAACAATGTAATTTAACTCCACTTCTTTTTTTTTAATATATAAAAATAATATTTTACATTATTCTGGTTTTATATAATAGGGTAAGGTGAATTAGCTGAATACATAAAAATAATAGAAGAGAAATTTGAGCATAAAAAAATATATTATATATCAGCTAAAGCCTATGCATGTGCACTAAAAGGTTCTTCTTCTATGCCTATTTGATCTTAAAAATGGGAAGCAGCGATAAGGAAAAGAATCATTGTAATAAAATAATTTAAAACAATAATATGACAATTTTAATTAACGATGGCATTTAACAACTTGTTTTCAACAACTAACAAGAAATATAGGGACGGGATGGCCGAGCAAGGCACACCCACTGCCATTTCCTGACAACATGATAAGAGATACTTTGATACAAATAGTTACAAGTTTGCTTCCCGGTGCTAATGGAGATTTTTAACTCTGGCATAAATCACTTCCCCACTGATTCGGGAAAACCTTGTATAGCCTAAAGGCGAGGAAGGGGTGGACCAAACAAACCTAAAGAATATGATTCAAATGAACTTTAAACTACTTGAAATAAAATTTGTCTCCAAAATATATCCACTTTTAACTGTTCACACTGGCTCTGTGTTAATAACTCTGCCATCTGAAACCAGCCTTAAAGTTCTATACACTATCATAACTCTGAACACACAACATAATCATTTTTCTAAAAGATCTTGACAAAACTGCTTGAGCCTTTTGGCCTTGCGGTACCCATTGAACGATTCCAATCTTTTCTAAATATATCAATTTTGAAAGAAACTTTAACAGATATAAAACATTTTCTTGAATCTCTTGGTATCCTTTCCACAGTAAGAAAATAATAAGATGTTGGAGGTATTGTTCTTATTCTGATCGAAACAGTTGTCAGAATTATGGGTGAACATTGAATTAACAGTTTTTTATTGGTCCTCCCCTTTCTCGCGGTTAAGGCTATATGGGGTTTTCCCGGGCCTGGGGGTGTGGGCGGGGATTTAAAAGACGCCTTGGCACTGGGAAACGAACTCGTGACTATTTTTATAAAATATTTGTCATATATCAGGTTGCCGGGCAACAGTGATGCTGTGCACAACGCGTTAGCCCATTTGGCCACCCCGCCCACGAATTGGCAGGAGTGCCAGTTCGCTGTCCTGCTTGCTTAAATGTCAGACATCCAGTCTTTTTAAGATTGTTTTTTAAGTATAACTTCCAATCTGTAACCCCTACTCGAAAAGTTGAAGCAAAATTTCTGATCCGGTCACCCAGAACATGGTACACAAATATAAAACTATCTGTCCATGTCACACCACTATGAAAAATTTTCTTTTAATTAGTTCAATAGGTAGCCTACTTGTATTTGTCTTAATAAAAACTTCTTCCTCACATTAACTCTGTTTGAGTGTAATAAGTCTTATGAGGCCTAAAGGGAGACAAATAGCTCTAACTTAACCTTTGAGAATCAATATTTATAATGGAAGAGAATAATTTTTCCAAAATGATCATCAATCATTGATTTTCTATATAAATAAAAAACTAACTTAAACTGAAAAAAATTAAAAAAAAAGAACATAATCAGGGTCATGCAGGCTGAAAGGATAAAAACAAGTTATAACCAAACCTAATTTGAATAGAGAGGGGAGGTTGCGAGAAGCCACTGTGAATTGCTATTTATCATAGATGGGGAACTGTTGAACTTGATCTAATAGCATATTAGAAAGGTTCACATTCGTAACTTTAACATGGTGGTGACGATATATTTCTATACTAGGTTTATACTTGAGGACAGAGGTGTCCAACCAATGGTTCGTAGGACACTATGTGATTGCTAAATGTTTGGAATTGATAAGCGGCCAGGTGAAAAGTTTTTAAGTTTTTATTGTCTGTATTTTTTAAAACTAAAAATATCATTAGGCTTTCATTTGACAGTTAAAGCTCATTATTCTCATGGTTTCATTGTTTGTAGTTCCAAAGTCATGAGTAGTATTATAAAAATAAAATGTGTTTATTTAACAATTTCTAAACAAACAAGTCTTATTACCATTTAACCAAGAATTCTTTGACAAAACACGCTGCTGGGTTACTCAAACTCCATTTTTTCCTCAATTCCAGTATGCGGATTTTTAAAATTAAATTTATGATTGACTTTATACATTGCTAATCTTTCATATCGATTTAGGTTAATCATCCCCACATATATTATTACAGTAAGGCTTGAAATCGGTTTTGTACCAAATATAAGCCACTGTCATGCTTAAATACCATGAATGGGGTACGGTTGGATTCAGAATGTCACAGGGGGTTAGCGAATCGTATTCTCCACTTTTGTTTTTCTTTCTAAAATAAATAAAGTCTATAAAAAAATTTTGCTAGGCTTCAATACTGGAACGGTGGTAGGTCTGTAGATCGATACAGGACAAATTGGATCTTGAAGATTTTGATGCGTACAGCAAGACCCAGATAGTTCCTCCGGAACTATCGGATTCTGCGTTTTTAAGCCCGAAAACGTACTATTTTCGAGATAACGCAAGGCATAGGGTTCACATCCACACAGCCTTACATTAATTGTGGTACTGTCATTGAATACATGTCTCATTTCGTCGAACTTGAGGACTCTATGATCGAGAGAGGAGGAGTTTATATTATTTATCGATGGTGTTTTTGATCGGCATGTCATATCATCGTTAATTTTTCACCGAATCTCAAGATTGAGCCTCCAATTTCAAAGGCTTCCTTCTCCTTCAGGCGGGCAAAATAGTCCAATTACCCCGAAAATTCAGGCAAACAAGTTATAAAAGAAAACAAACTTTATTTGCGAATAATTAAAAAATTACACTTTTCCTTTGGTTGTGCCCATGATCATATATAAGATTGCTAAATCCTACAAAAGGAAAAAAAAAAATCATAGAAATTGGACTAAGATACAGCTTACTGAAATTTGTGAACATGTTGTTTCCAAACAAAAATGAAGATTTAAATTAATTTTTGTTTTCTTTGTTGATTATATTTATCGATAAAGTAACATTTGATTTATTTATCTTTTGATACCTTGCATTATTTTATTTTCTTATTAATTTGGCATTTGATAACAATATGCTGTGCGAATTTTTCGCACAAGCCTACTAGTCATTTATTATTAAATTAGATTTACAGGGTGGCTACCAAATTGTCAGAATGAAATTCCCAGACCAATATTATGTCAAGGGACACAAATGTTAAAAATATATAGTGTATAACTAATTAATTTATAACTATATATATATAAAAGTTATAACTATTTAATTTATCATACATGATTGAAAATTGACAGATTAGAGTAAAAAAAAAGTCTGTTCAGTCTTTTAAAAAACAAATATAATTTCAAGAGGAAGCATTTTTCAACCATGGTTATAATTTTTTATTTTAGAAAACTGACCTTAAGTAATTTATTTTTATCGCCTATTTACTAATACTTTAAGCACTTCATTTTCATAAAGTAAGAGAATGTAAAAGTTGATACTTGACGCTTTTATCTATTATGAAATAAACTGAGCTACGAGATATTCTTATTTTAATGTAAGGCAATTTAGTTTTCTTATTGAAACAAACAGAACAATAATTATCCATGTGATGGCCGAGTAGTTCAATCAATGAATGATAACAGAAGGAAATGGCAGGGACACAATTTTTGACTTAAATAAAAATACTAGAAGTTCCCACTCCTATGTGGTAAGCCTGGGAGGGGGGGGGAGGTGGAAGGGAGAGGAGGCCCCTAGAAGGCCATTTTTTTTAGGGTTTCATTTATATAAGGAAAACTATCAATCGCATCAACAAAAGCGTTCTATACAAAATTAAAGCTGATAAAATTTGCAATATGATTGATTCTATACATTTTTTTTAGTTAGAGAGATATCTATCTTCAACTATGGCGAATTTTTGCTTCCTCACTACCGAAGGTAGGGAAGCATTGTGTTCGTGCGAGAGATTAAAATTTTTTTTTTGCTCAGAATTGAAAATTTCACTCGCGTTATACGTTTCAGACATCAAGGATCAAATTTGGTTCGGTGTCTGTCTGTAGTCAAATCGATGTGACGGGCATATCACCTAGTACCGTTCATCCAATCTTCATGAAATTTTTAGGGATTATGCTGATTGGTGCCTAGATGGTCCCATATCAATTTTATCAAATTCCATCCAGCACTTCCGCTTACGCACGCGCAAACGTATATTTTTAGATATGCCAATATTTCAGAAACGGTTCGTTCGATTTGGCTCAAAGTTATATAAAAGGTAGACTTTGGTAAAAAAATAATGTAGTGTCAATTTCATTGAATTGTGTCCAACACTTTCTCTTATATGTGCACTACTAGTCCGCCGTCCGCGCATTTTTTCTGAAACTACTAGACCGATTTTTTTCGAATTTTGATATAAAATCTGAGGTCACCCGAGGATCATCCTCCTTCAACGACATTACCATTCGCCTTCTAGTTTCAAAATTGCGGCCGAAAAACCTGCGTTGCTATAGACTGTAGCGCCTAAACGAATGTACCGATTTTGATGAAACTTCGCTAAAGTCATTTTCTCTACGCCCTCTAAATTTATCTATACTACACACTTCAACGAAAAGAAGCTCAAAAAAAGTTACGAGGGATGGTAAAATTAAATTCCGAATAACTCAAGAAGTATACACATTTATGTCAATATTGTATATGGTTTTTTTAGAAGTTTACGGAATTTCCTAAAAAAAAAAAAAAAATTCGTCAAAATCGGACAATTAGGAGCAAAGATATGGTCTCTAGTTTTTTTTAGATGTGCTATTGCAAAAGGTTTATCTTTTTTTTGATTTCTGAATGTGTTACTGAAGTAATACTATTTTTTTTAGCATATTACTAATGATTAAAAAAATTTTAGTCCAATAATTAGAATCACCTTTTATTTATTTTTCTTTGTAACTCCTCCAAAATTAAATCTTGGTTCGGTAATGTATATACTATTATTAGAG